AGTGCGCACCATGGAAGCCTCGGCGAGAGCCGCGCTTGGCCGCAGTGGGAGATCGTATCTGAAGGTTTTGGACTATGGGGTTTTCCCACTTCAGGCGCGCAGTTTCTCTATACCTGATAACTAATTGGACTTCTCTGCACCCTCCTTTCCTACCTCTTCGGCTAATAACCATTCCCTAGCCTTTTTGATCGGACACTGATGGAGGGCTAAACCGCCTGGGCAGGAATGAATCTACGGAAGTACTGCATTTTGGGCCTTTTTTCATGCCTTGCTATTTTGCATGAGCTGAAGGCGCGACGAGACTGATGCATCTTCTATTAGCTAGATACAAAACTGGTAGGTTTATGGGAACCCGGCAGTTTTCCAGGGACTTCTGCAGTGACGTCATCGAATTTTGATTTCCTCGTGGCACTTCGTTTTCCAAGTTACGGTAGCTAAAGAAATTCTTATTATACAATTCACACCTCATCTTTTTATTCATGCTACCATCCCATTTTTGCCTTAAATTTGCAGACTTAAGTGAATTTCCGATTTCCGCACAAGGCACTGTGCTATCGAAGTCCTTTTTGGCCGTAATACATCATGTGGTAATTGCTCTTTAGACCATTATCCGCTGCTCCATGGATTGATATTGATCGATCAGAACTGGTTGAACTAAAAGGGACCTATGAAAGCGGGTATATCTGGAATACTACGGTACAAGACGATCTCGACTTGAAATGTGAAGGTGAACGTGACGGAAAGGTGAGTAATATTATTTCACAGTATTCTAAAATTTTGGGATGGCTCAGTATTTTTATATTGAAATTTTTGTTCAGACCAGCTTTGAAGTGAAAAGAGTGCGAGCATCTGAAAGTGAGCCGTTTGTGAAGACAAGCTGGACACGTTCCGATCATTCAACATCACAAGAGGATCCAAAGGAAATTTACGAGGGTGATAATGTGAAGCTCACTTGTACAGTACCTAACGACGAAGAGTGGTTAGTCTTTGCGTACTGTTGGGTCCACAGAACATTATTCCATACATTAGGGTACAAATTGGTAAATAAATTGGTAAACGAATGAAATGATAAATACACTTTGTCTACCTGAGGTGGAGAGGGCGTGGCTGCGATTTTGAACGTGGCGACGGCTACGTTCACGGAAGGATGTTATTTTTTGGGACAGCGGTGATCATGTTCATCCAACACAAGGAAAAAAATGACAACTGTCTCGTATGGGATCCCACGGAATCTGCAGAAATGAAAATGAAAACGAAAAATATATCCTACGCCGTGCACAAATGAAGCATCAATCACGCCAGCAGCACTCACAACCTCCTCATCTAGGATATGGAGTGTAAATTAGTTTGGTGGAGAAGTAATCAAAAGTCGGACGGACTTTCAGACTCAAGTTTGAAACTTTGAAGACTGTGGAATGATTGTCCTAGGCGGGCGGTAGTTGCCAATGTCATTGGTGGAAGGGATGCGAGAAGGCGTTCGGCCACACCCACTCATGCCTCCACCAGTGAGGATGGCGACAACTTCCCGCCCCTAGCCATTGTGCACACTGCCTTAAATCTGTCACAAGGGAGTTTATTCATAATGAAACCCATCAACGTCCATTTTCTGTTGCCAAAGCGTGACAAGTTCTTTGAATTTCATCAGATGGATTTTAGGAACTCAGATAAACTGCTGGAAAAGCGTACTGCCTATTCTGATTCTGAATGTTTCAGCCTTAGCGCTTTAGTGGACCAATAACCTTGAAAAGTAATTTCCTGATCTATTAAAAATTATGGTCATAATTGTTCAGGACAGTACGATGGGTCTTCCGTGAAAGCATGATTGGCGACGTCAACAATGTAGTCGACGCCCATTCACGTCATCTAATCGCAAATATCAAGTAAGTTCGTTTACTGTGTAATTTTCAGTTGTTTTGTTCTGAACTACTGGTCCTGCTGATTTTTATCTGAAGACACATTCCGCGATTGCCTGGAGGTGGAGTCCATTCCGTGCATATGGAGAGTGGGAGTCGCTACTCGAAAGTTTATAGCAAGCACGCAAAGGGTTTGCGATGACCGGGAACCCCACCCGCGCCAAGAGTAGAGCTCTTGCTGCTGCATTTCGTTGCGATCGATTTTTTGCCAGGTGTAAGCGCTTCGTCGCTCCCGCCTGCCCAGTGAGCGTCTCTGCGTCTCTCATTCTCATCAAGTAAAATCAACCAGGCCGACGCGGAATGTGTCTTGAACCGCTGCATATTGTTGTATCAACTATTTCCAGTAATGTAACTGGTAGCAACGCTGGCGAGTATGTCTGTGTCATGCAAAAAGGCAATCAAGAGAAACGCTTGAAACAAATTATATCGGTGTTGTCGTTATTTTTTGTTTTTCTATCCTTCTGATATTAATTACTACTTTTCGTGTTTTAATAGTTGTTATATCGATTTCAAGGTGGTAAAGACCGTGAAGCCCTATCATGCACAATCGGATCCAGAGAAACCACGGGTACTGCATTATGGAAAGTCAGCTGATTTCGATTGTATTATCGAAGGCACACCTAGGCCTGATTTCAGATGGTTGGTTGTTTCTTGATTGCCTGTTATTTCGATGAAATGTTTAGGCAGTAGATTTGTCTAGAATTCTGTACTCGCACTTTCATTCGTATGTTTGCTTTCTCTAATTTCGGGTAGAGCCATAACAAAAGATCAGGCACGCAGCCAGTGATGCACCTAACGTTGCCGACTCCCACAACTGGTGGAGACGGGCTGGCGTCGCGCTAAACCCAGCCCCTTGACACGCCCCAGCATCCACAGCGAACAAGAGCGTGAAGCGCAGCAATTTTAGCATAATTTCTGAAATAATACAAATTTTCTGCGCAATTGAAGGCAGTGGGCGTGAATGTTGTAGGCGGGCGCTTGTTGCGGCCACACTCCGCCCATCTCTCCACCAATGGCGTTGTTACACGCGTCCGCCCACAGCGATTGTGCCCACTGCCTTCAAAGGGGGCCCTGTCCAAAAAATAATTGATGGGCTCTGGAGAAGTGTCATTCTTGGCTTGTTCCAAGTTTTTTCCTAGAAAATGAAAAATACCCTACCGGAGTAGATCTACCTGTGAATTAATTGCTTTAAGATCTAGCCATGAATTAATTACTTACTTATTATAGTTACTTGAATTGGATATACTATAATTATCTTATTTTGTTAAGGCTCAAAGACGGTCAACCATATGAAGGAGGTGAACTGTCAGCGGATAATAGGCATCTTCATATTGCCAGAGTTGCCGCTGAAGACAAAGGTGAATTTGAGTGTGTGGCAACAAATCGAGCTGGAACAAGTGTATACAAGTTCGCAACCAAGGTGAGATATGGCTATTTATTCTATTTTTTTTGAGCTCAAGATTTTTCAAAAAACGTGTTGCTAGGGTGTTTTACTCCGCGCTGAACTATCATTTCATAGCTTCGTGACTGTGGGATTACCATCCTACGCTGAGCGCTCCCTCAGAATCCTCATGCCCTGCATCACAAGGCTCAAAGTGCTCTCTCATGATTCGCCGCTACTTATTATTCCCTATCTCTCAATGTCCACCCTACTTATTGGTTTTTTATTTTATGAATTTTATCGTATCCGCCAGTTTGACTCTGCACAGGTATAAAGCGGCCGATGAATTGTTCAAACGGGAGCACTAATCTCCACCCCAGTGGGTTCCTCTGACTTTGTTGGGGCATACATTCAGTTCTTTTTTCAAACTTTTTTTCTATAGTTTTTCGCAGATTTTTTTCTTCTCTTTCCACTACTCATAGAATAAATCCCTTCTTGTTCCAAGCGAGAGGCAAGAAATCGGTGGGGAGTAGTCAAGGATAGCGAAAAAGCGTGCAAGTGAGCAGGGCGAGAGAGACGACAGCTAGCTGCGTGGGTTAAGTCATTCGAGCAACCTTGCACATTGTCCCTATCTTGCAACTTTCTGGCGCGAAAATTGTATAAAGTTGTCCATTGCCGTCCGCACCACCTTTGCCCACAAAAAGCTTCGTTTCTTCAAGTGATCGCAGAATGTGTCTTTAAGTCTGCGGTCCGGGTGAATAGCCTAACCCTGAACTACCTGCAGGGCATAGAGCCCTCAAGGCCGATACAGCGCTGTTTGGGATGCGCCATGCATTCTACTTCCTCTCAAAATCGTAGTTGATCTAGCCCAAAAACGATTTGTATGGGCTGGTTCCGGATTTGACCTGTGTGGTAGGCGTTGTCACTCGTCAGAATTCAGTTATGTACTACTGTACATCTTTAGGTCGAGGGAGCACCGAAGCGGGTATCAAGCTCATTTCTGTTCGTGGTATTCATGTTACTTTTGGGATTGTTGTTCTGTCTCATCACAACTGTTATTATGTACTTAAAACAACGTAAAAAGGCGATTGAGCAGGACCGGTACGTTTCTCCCTGTTTTTCTTTTGCTTTTCATTTTCCGAAAAAAAATCTAATGTTCGTTTTTCTAAGTTACGCTCATTTAGAGCTCTGAATGTTCTCTACGAGCAGCTTATGAAAAATACGGAAGGTCCGCCGCCTAGCGGACCAAAACTTCCACTCGATCAACGAGTATATCAGTTACCGTATAATCGGCAGTACGAACTTGAACGCGATAATCTGGAAATTGGTAACAGGGTAAGTTATTCGCTTTCTAGGCAAGCAGTATTTTCGGCGTTATAACCACTGAGCGCGATCAGTCGCCTTGTTTTGGCGCCTACATTTTGCGTTGACCCTTTCTTTGGCTTTCCCCTGTCACTAGATTTTGAAAATCTTTAATTCCAGCTGGGATGTGGCCAATTCGGTCAAGTTTGGATGGGTTGGTTAGCGAAGCCTCGCGTTACTGACTCTATGGCCGAAAAAGTCCGTCTTCCAGTGGCTGTCAAAGGTACGACCGTTGCATTTTCAACCTTTTGTTTGGCCCCGGGCCCAGGGCCCAGGGAAAGCACTCTCAACCTAGCTATACTAATGAGGATATATTATAATTGTTTAGGCCCGCTGGTCGGTACCAACGTGCAACACCAAAAAATGCTTGCTGATGAGTTGAAAATAATGTGTGCTATTGGCAAACATCCAAATGTTCTGGCGCTCATCGGCGCTATCACAAAGAACATGAAAGGGTAAGATTTTTCATGGCTACAGTGCTCATCCTAAGAATATTAAACAGGAAATCCCGTGATGATGTGGGAAGTTCTACCCTACACCCCCTTCCCTCACCTCTCCGTCACACTTTCTTTTGACCAGTCAGCGTAAGGTACCCTGGTGGTAAAAATGGTTCAGGTCCCGGAGCACACCCGGCATCAGAACCTGGACAGATTAGAAAAAGTTGTGTGACGGGGTAGCACAGGTTCGTCCTGCTGCGCCAGATTCTCAAGCTGTGCCCTTCGTGACATCACAGCTTTTTGCAGCTGGCGGGGAGGGCGGGAGGGGGGGCGGGGGATACGGCTGGTGCAGGCACCTTCTGCTTCCTAGCGAAGACTGTACAGGTCATCTTGTGAGCATCTGTCAAATTTTTATAACCAAAGTGGCCCACTGGTACCATTTCGCAGCTTCACACAACGTTACAGGTGTTGCCAAAATAATATTTAATTTCTAGTACATGAACTAGCAAAAAGAACTAGCGGAAGTGTTAATGCCCCCCCCCAAGCCGAGCATCTCCTCGAGGATCTTTGAATATTGTGCTTGCCAAAACCTGCATACAGGTTGTTTTATTATCGCAGTCAAGTAGCCAGTGCGAATTTTCGAGTTTCCAGTCACTTTGTTTCGAATTCTACTTATTTTTTATTTTTCTGCTGGAAGATATGAGTAAAACGTATCTGCATCGAGTGTCGATATGTTTCTGGCGGTGAGGGGGTTGGAGGGGGGGGGTGGGGAGATTGATCGTCAGCGAGTTCAGACCGCCCCACTCTGCTCGTCTGTGACGTATCAACGAGATAGTGTTAAGTGGGTTATGTTGGCGCAGTAAGAAGGCAATTGAGCAGAAAGTAGTGCTGCCCAAGGATAGTGTACTTTGGTGGTGCCAAGCTTCGGGGCTCTGTTGCTTTCCAGGCTTAACCTCAGATAAACTCAAATGATCAGACTGCTTGCAGCTGTGGTGTTGGAGTTCAGAAGAACAAGACGCGTCACGGTGCTGCGTAGATCCCCTCAACTACACCCCGGGTGCCGTGTTCCCTCTTAGCAGCCTTGGCGCCATCTCTTTAAAGGCAGTTGGCACGATGGTTTCCTACTTAGCCTAAAATGCTAGTAGGGCGCTGTATAGTGGGGAAATGGCGAAAGAACGGAGTGAAACGGTCAAAATCCGGCGAAGAAAAAGCCTCCGTTCTCAGTGACTTGAAAATCGATTTCGGACGAGTTTCCCGTAGGCATCTTGCCAATCACCGCTACCGAAGATACGGCTGCATATGTGTACCCATATATGCATGCAGCATCACGCCGCTTCATACCAATCCCTTTGCTTCATAATTTGCTCAGCAAATGAATGAATACGAGCGTCAGAAACGGTCGTCCGTTTGTGGGCGGGCGGGCAAGGAAGGCGTTTGGGACGTAAAGTTGTTGCTCAATAGGGTGTTATAGA